GGAGAAATTGGAAGGACTTGAATGTGGCATAAGATCAGGTTATGAAATCAAGTTGGCATTTAAATGACCTAACAACAAATTGTTCAATTTAATTTGCTTACTCAATCCAATAAAGGAGAAACAAGAAAACCTATCTAATTAAAAACATTGATCCACAGGAACTGGCAACTCCAAAGGCCTTGCTGGAAGTTAGCACTCCAACAATGTGATACAAGGATATGAGAGAAGACAAATAGATTCTCTTCCTGCCTCCAGGAGGGCTGCAAAGGGCCCTGAAAAACTCTGAGCTCAAAAGACAAATCAATTTGTTCAGCTTAACCAGGGAAGCAAGGTAATTCTCAGAATTGTAAAGCCCAAGAAAGAATTAAATTCTTGCCCCACCCCACCCACTGGCAGCCACAGGCTCCACCAATTCCCAGACACAAACTGGGACCCTTCTTGTGGTCTTACATCTTTGCTTGGTTGGCTCCCTGGTGTGAAATTCTATCTGGTTTGACAGGCTGCATCTTTCAAGACCAGTATAAGATTTTCAGGAAAAAGTAAATATGTCCACAGAACAAAATAGTCACGGTCTCAGGCTCTTTTACAGCACTCTACACTTTGAGCTACATTTAAAATGCCAAAAAATAGCAGGTCTCACAAAGCCTGGGGGGAAAAAAAACACAAGAAGCAGTAGCTATAAAGATGATGCTCTCAGCCGGGTGGCACACCTTTAATCCCAGCACTTGTGAGGCAGAGGCAGGCAGATCTCTGTGAGTTCGAGGCCAGCCTGGTCTACAAGAGCTAGTTTTAGGACAGGCTCTAAAGCTACAGAGAAACCTTGTCTCCAACGCCCCCCCCCAAAAAAAAGATGATGCTCTCTCCCCCAGATGCTGCTCCTACTAGATCTTCCATAGGAATGGTCCTGGTTCTAATCTCAGAGCTGAGACCATTCCTTAACTGTGCAAACCTTTTAGCCCCACGTGCATCTTCATGGTTACCCTTCCCATTGAGGCCAGCTATCGCTGGCTTGCTGAAGGACCCTTAATCAGGACTAGATTGTCCTTCCAGGGAAATGTCCAATTCAAAGAGAAGCAAAATCACTTAATATTTGGCAGCTCCGTTCCTTTCAGAGGAAAAGTGACCTGCAAGTGAACCCATAGCCAGTATGGCACATCATTCCTCCTGCTGGGACCAGATGGCATCCCAACCCTGCTTATCCCTGCTTCTTGTTCTGGTTGAAGAACTCTGCCTTCAGCAGAGCCCTCCAGAGCTTAAGTAAAGCAACAGAGAGACACACCACAATACACAACAAAGAAGGCTACAGGCTGGAAATATTAATTCCCCAGAGATCTCTCCTTAAAGAAGAAAGGGGGAGAAAGTTACCAATACCCATGAGCACTAGCAAGAGGAATATACATCTACTTTTAAGAGATAAAATGAAGTTTTGGAGAGAAGGTGACTTTAAGAGGTGGCCTTAAAGACAAAAATGTTTCAGGCAAAGATTGGAAGCAGGGAATAGGAGTAAGCTGAATACCTTGTAGAAGTATTGGGATAGGCCATGGAATGCCCAGGAGTTGTGTGTGGATAGAGCACACCCAGGACTGAGAACAGGCAAAGAAATTCAGTGGAGAAAGAAGAGGAAGTCAGTACCTTAAGACTCTACCAGCATTTCCAGTTAGAGACACTGACATTCCAGCGGCTGCTCTAGACCCTAAAGACACAGTGGGAAAACAACAGTAATGCTTATCTTGGGATGCTGATATGATGGGTGCCGCGTACTAACAAGGAAAGTCAAACAGGATAGCATGACTGAACACCATGGAGGAATTGGGATTCTTTTCATGTAGAGTCCTACAGGGAGAAGAACCAATCTTGGGAAGACTCAGAAGATGGAAGAGCAAGTATGAGGCTCCAGAGGCAGAAAGAAGCTTGGTGTGGATGAGGAATCAAACAGAGACTGAAAGCCTGGGGTGGAGAGAAGTAGGTTGTAGAAAAGTCAGCAGTGTCAGAGACCCTGGCAGGGCCATATCTATTAGAACTGGAGACATGAAGAGGAGTACAAGTAAAAGAGGTTCTGGGAAAGAGACTGTTCCAGCAGCCGTGTGAGGCCCTGAAGGCACCACCTAACTGTTAAAGTCAAGCCTGGTGTGGTGCGGTGTGGTGGTGGTGGTGGTGGTGTGTGTGGGTGTAATAGAGGGGGATGTGACAAAGAACCCACCACATTTTCTTGATGTTGGTGTGCCCTCTGGTGGCTGGGTTTCTTGTTTGTGCCTTGAGTACTTCCTTGGCCTCTCTCCGAGGAAGAATGTGACAAGTGGTTTATCTTTCAGCATCCGGCTAAGGAACAGATAGCTTAATGCTGCAGATGCTGGAGCTCAGTTCGGGCCAGGATGGGATGGCAGTCTGTAAGAGAGGCAGGGGCCAGCAAGGGCCAGACACAAAGGGAAGCAGTGGGAGGCACTGGGGGCTTTTGTTTCTATAGAAAGTCACCAATACAAAAGAAATTTGATGACCATGTATGAATGTGACAAATTATTATTGGTGGATATTTTCAGAGCAAAACAAAACCATTCCAATTTAAACATTTGTAAATTAAGAGCAGAGAACATCAGGTTGTACTGAATAAACACAGCACATAATGGAAAACGTACTTCTGTTCCTACACTACAATCAGTTACAGGAGAGAGGCGGGGGTGCCGGCCAGCAACAGGCAGCAGAGAGTCACGATCTTGCTGAGAGAACAGAGGAGAGGGGGTGGATAGGGCTTGGTCAGAAATAGACACTGTCTGACTAGGCTGACGTCCAAAGACTCACCGGCTGTCTGCAGTGTGTCCAAACAGACGCACAAACACAAATAACAACTCTCTCTCTCTCTCTCTCTCTCTCTCTCTCTCTCTCTCTCTCTCTCACACACACACACACACACACACACACACACAAGATTAAGAGAACATAGAATTTGAAGCACAGCAAAAAGTGGTGGACGATTAAATACAAGGGTGTCTGGGGAAAGAGAAGCTGAGCCCTAAAGTCTGTGCCTTAAACCCGGTGAAGCAGAGGGGCACCATGCTTTGTCAAACCAAGTAGCTGTGAGGCATGATTAAAGGTGAACCAGACTCCGTAAAGAAACTATCACTTTCTTGCCGATAAGAAGGCAAGCATTTTCAATACAGCTATCCACCTGTTTCTGGCACCAGTGATCTTCTGAGCTTACAAGAATAACAACTGTAGGTTCCAGCACTTGGTAAAAAATGAATTTGGTGCAGCCTTAGCAACAAGCATCATGGCAAGACGCTGCCTAGGGCTCCAGGGGCTCCTCCTCAGCTTGGCTGCATCTCTCTTAAGCTGGAGAATTTAGAGTCTTTTTCCAGCACAATACCAGAACTGAGAAGCCATATACACACAAAGTAGTGACCCTTCACCAGTGCCATCTCCCTACTGCCACCTCCGTGGGCCCAGGACCTAAGTCTGTGTGACATTCCTCCAGGTAAGACTTCCTCTAGCTAAAGCTTCCTGCTATAGGCCAAGGTATAAGCCAAGAAACTGCATTAAATTTAAAAGAAATACAGTTAAAAGAATTAAAATTCATACATTGAAATACACAGTCAGAAGAGTAAAAAGACAACTTGAGGGAGAGAAAACACATTTGCAAATGTGGTAAAGAGTTAATATCTATAATATATAAATGATATTACAGTTTGATGACTCAAAAGTGGTCAAAGAATTTGAAACGATATTTTTCCAAAGAAGACATCCAAATGGCCAGCAAATGTGTGAAAAAAACTGCACAGATTCATAACTCGTAAGAGAAAGGCAAGCCACACTAAAATAAAGAACTGTCTCGCGCCCAGTAGAAGGGCTCATATCCAAAAACTGAAAATAAATGTTGGTGAGGATGTGGAAAATTTGGAAAACTGAACAAGCGTGGCAGTACCTAAAAATGAAAGAAACCACAGGACCCAATAATTTCTCTTCCAGACATGTGTCTCCCCAAAGGAAATAAAAACAGGATCGCAGAGAAATTTGCATATCCATATTCCCAGCAGTATTTCAATAGCTGAATCATGGTCAGAAACTGCATACTCATCAACTGGATGACTAAGTAAAATGTGTCATATCTATACACTGGAATATTATTTGGCCTTTGTAAAGGAAGGAAAATACGGCATGAGATGTAACATGGATGTATTTTAATGATGCTATTTGATAAGCTGACACGGAAGAAATGCTACAGGATCTTATCTATGTGACCTTTGTAGAGATTAAATGAGTGCTGCCATGAAGCTGGTGGGGTGGAATAAGGAGTTGTTTAATTCATACTGAGTTCTTGATGTGGAAAGTGTTTGATGATCAATTTTACACAATGGTTAAGATGCTAATTTTTACAGCTATTTTCCTATGATGAGTGGATGAGTGGATGAATGTAGGAAAGAATGTTCATGTCTGACCATGAAACTGGGGTCTGTATGTAGACGGAACCCAGTAGCTAGGACTTATTTCTGCAACTCCAGATTATCTGGCAACACCAAATCGGATGCATACCTTGTCCTCCAGAATCAGTATGTGACTGTTTGCAGGTGGAAGCATAGTGGCTTTCAGTCACTTCTGGTTCTTCTTTTCCACATTCATTCACTTGCACATCCCCTTACTGTCTAGGTGGATAAACATTGAATGCCTCCTCTGTGGAAGACGTGTCACCAAGACTGCAGCCAAAGCAGTGACCTTTCCTTCAAGGAGCCCACAGTCTGTCAAAACTGACCCAGGAAAGAAAGTGTTCTGAGAAGCACAGACACCTAGAGAAGGTGTGACTGCCTAATTAGAACGGGGGTGGAGGCGAGAGGATCTTCTTCAAGATTCTGGTTCTAAAGGCCAGTAAGGCTCAGGAGGGTAGAGGAGGATGCTCACATATATGCCAGGAAAACTCTTGGGAGAAGAGAAGAGAAATATGAAGAAAGAAAGAATTGAGCAATAACCACAAGTACCTGAAAGGAATTTATTAACTTCTAAGTGCCTCTAATTCACAGTACTATAGACTTCACAAACTCTTCAGAACTTGTGTGCATAGAGAGGTGGTGCCCAAAGCTGCCAGGCACCTCTTTCTCACAGTGACATTGTCTGATAAGGAGGTAATGACTCTCAGCAAACATACTCAAGCCCACCCTACCATTCCCTCACAGACCTTGCATACCTTGGAAAACAGCATGCATGGGCCCAGTGTCTGCAGCCACTTCTTAAATGCATAAACATGCATGAAAACAGACTGTTTAGAGCACATGTTAGAAAAGTATGGGGCAGAATGCAGTAGGGAGTGGCTAGATAGAAAGAAGCCAAAAGCAGGAGTCAGGCATTGTGGTGCACACTGTTCTTCAGAGAACACTGTTCAGACTTCTGGTCCCAGGAAATCCCCCTGAAGGACAGTTCAGTTGTTCCCTAGTTCCTTTTCAGACTTGGGCAGTAAGCACTTGGAAATCCAACCCACAAAACCTACACTGTCCACAAGCTTGACCATTTTCTGGGCTTGGAGGGGGACTCCAAGACATTGTAGCCAAAAGCTTAAGCCCTAGCAAGGCTTTGGGGGAGAGCTCAGAGAGACATGAGGATAGGTGTTTGTAAACGTGGAGTTCTATTCAGGACTTCTAACTGGGGGTCAGAGCAAGGCTGGATAGGCATCTCTGGTTATTCATCAGCAGCTGCCTCGGGGGTATTTATTCCATCTGATAGGTAATCGTCCTCATGGTTCTGTTTCATTTTGGTCTCCAGTACTGTGATGCGCTGCTTGAGCTTCTGCTGGGCCCCAGTGTACTCAGCCAGCAGGCGGGCAAAGCGAGTGTACAAGGTCTCCATGTTTGTCTCCAGTTGCTCCAACTTCTCCTGAACATCTACCTCCATGCTGGCGGCCACCTCATTCTCATCCAGCAGACCTTCCTTCATCAGGATCTCCCGGCCCCTCTCCTCAAGGACTTTCTTGGCATCAGGGTACTCAGTCACAGCTTCCATGAGATCATCCTTGGACAAGCAGAAGAGATCTGAGTAACCTAGGCTACGGATATTGGCAGTGCGCCGATTGCCCATTTTGCTGCCCTTAATGTTAAGGATGCTAATCTCTCCAAAGCAGCTCCCGGCTGAGAGCAAGGCATACTGAGTCACACCATCATCGGCTACTACTGCCAGCTTGCCCTCCTTGATGATGTACATTTCCTTGCCAATGTCCCCCTTACGGCAAATATAATCCCCAGGACTGAAGACCTGGGGACGAAGCTTCAGTACCAGTTCCACCAGCAGGCCAGCCTCACAATCCTGAAATATGCGTACTTTCTTCAGGGTGGACAAGTGGACGTTAATGGCTATCTCAGCCCTGAGCTTTGCTGGCAGGTTTTTGAGGACTTCTCGTTCATCTACTGTCTTCTTATTGGTCCACAAGTAGTCAAACCATTTGATGACCTTAGCTTCCATTTCTTTGCTGACCTTTCGGAACTGCATGTAGTGTTTGACAGCGTCAATCTTGGCCTGGAACTCTGCTCGTGTGGCATTCATGTTGGAGATCATGGAGCCCACATTTCCCACAATAGTGGCAAAGATGAGGACACCGATCAGGAAGTCAAAGATGACAAAGAGGTACTCTTCATCCTTTACAGGGGGTGGTGTCTCTCCAATGGTGGTGAGGGTCAGTGTTGACCAGTAAAGACAGTAAATGTATTCCCTAGCCAGGTAGCCATACTCAGGGTCAGTAATGTTGGGGTATACCCAGGTGTCAACCCCAAAGCCGATGGATTTGGAGATGGCATAGTAAATGCAGGCATTCCAATGGATGATGACCAAGATGTAGAGAACCAGATTGCTGATTCGAAAGATGTTGGGGTAGCTGGTGCGTGTCTCAGTGCGGTCAAAGAACTCAAACATACGGGCAAAGTGCAACAGACGGTTGAAGCGCACCTCAGGGCTGTGGATACCCACAGCAAAATAGATGAGGTCAGTGGGGATGATGGAAGCCACATCGAGTTTGAACTGCAAGGTGTGGATATAGTTGTCACGCAATTTCTTGGGGTCTTTGACCAGGAGTCCCTGTTCTAGGAAGCCTGATAGAAATACAAAACAACATGTCACTTCTGTCCTCAGTCCCGTGTCTCCCTAGAAGATAATTCTCAGCAGGGAACAAACTACTAGTTAGCTTTCCTTCCCACAGAGGACTATAGATCGCATAGGGAGACTGGCCAAAAGAACCCTAAGAAACCACTCTCAGATATAAACCTCCGTAAGTATGTGAGTCCATAAGATTTAGAGTATCCTAGCAGAGGTCCACTGGGGAGATGGGCTTCAATACCATGTCCAGTCAGTTTCTTCAAATTTTGTCTTTAGTTCTTTGGATTTACGAGTCCAAATGCTGCTGTGCACTCACCTGTGCGCAGTCGGATGAAGACGTCTGCAATGTAGACAGTGTCTGAGAAGTAGTCCAGCACCAGCCACACCACAAAATAGTTTCTCTGGAGATCACTGAAGCAGGCTCTGTAAGGGGACAGGGCTGGGCTTCACCGACAAAGCCCTAGTGGCTCTAAGCCATATACATACTTCTGTGAGGAGAGCTTCACATGGCCTCCAGGGACACCAGTGCGTCACAGGCCACTTGGTAACAATGACTAGTGACTTCTACCTCAACCCTTATTACAAAATCAACATTGCTGCATGTGTTGCTCATTGATCATTGCTAGTCTTCCTCATTCCCTGGACTGTGAGCCCCAGAAACAGGACACATCTTAGTCATGACTATATGCCAAATCGCTGGTCCAGGGCCTCAGATTGCACATCATAAGTGGTTTAAATCCAATAAATAAATAAACAAACAAGGCATCATAAGACCAGCTGACTGGCTTCTGTATTCATTACTTCAATGGATTCTTATTGAACACATCATCGAACCCTGGCAGGATGAGAATACAGATAGTAGTGGGGTTTAAGCTAGAGGTGCTGAGACTAGAGAAAGATTGGTGGCTACAGGAGCTTTGGAGGAAGAAATTGGCAAGATTTTGAAAATGAAGGAGTAGAACCTAGGGAAGGGCCTAGGGAGGGGACAGAGGAAGGGAAAAATCTGATTATGTACTAGTCCAAGGGAAGAATGGTCACATTTAGAACCAAATTCCCATAAAATGTGCAGAACAAAGTAGACCACAGCCTTCAGCCGTACTGGGCCATCAAGAGATTAGGGAGCCTTGCTCAAGTTAGTCCTTCTGTCCAGAATTCCCTCTCTGCCAACCTCATGTATTTGAACCAATTGCTACCTCCCACTAAGATCTCAACTAAGGTCTCTGTCAAGCCCATTATGATGGCCTATTCTTGAGCAACTTGTTATCTCCAGACCCTGGTAATATCTTGCTCATTTCTTTTGTTGCATGTTTATATTCAGTCTAGCTGAGAACACTGGGGAAAAGCAGTGATTGTGTCTGTCCTGTTTTCCATTGTACACCCAACACAGAGCACAAAACCCAATTAGTGTGCAGGTCATTCTTCCTGCATGAATGACTGACATAGGGTAGTATTACGTGAACTGCTGTCAGGAAAAGAGAGGACCACGTTCAGTGGACCTTGAAGATCAACCTTAGAGTTTTATCATGAGAACAATGGGGAGCCATTACATGGTTTTGGAAGAGAGAGTAGTATAAGCCAATCTCAGTCTCTACATAGAATATTAGTTGCAAGTGTGGAAGATGTACTTGAGGGATTAAGTGTACCTCCAAGGCATAGAGGTGGGACTACTGTAGTTTTCCCAGAGAGAGAAGGGAGATGATGGCCTAACCAAGGACAGTACTGATGTACGTGAAAAAGCAGCCAAAGATTACAGGAAAGGAGCAGGAAAAGGACCAACATGAAGACTTGATGGCATATTGAATAGCGGGAGCACTGACAACACGGGGGGTGGTGAAAAGAGAATTCAGCAATCAGAGACTTCAGAAAGAACATTGGACTGTTGCATACTCTTTGTCCAGAGTTTAGATTTTTGTGTGATCTTAATTCCATTTGCTGTAGACTCTGCTTCTGTAATAAATTCCACCTAGACCCCTCCATGCTCACCTGGCCACCAGCAGGCACCAGTTGTAAAGAACAGGCATGGCAATGACAAACAACCAGCGGTAATACCAGTCTCCAGCTGGGTCCAAGACAAACAGCTCAAACTTCTTCCTGTAGAGACAAACAGCAGTTACTAGAGTTCTAGGGCTCCAGGTTTCAGAACCACAAATTCTCAAAAGTATTAATGAATTAAAGGATTGTGGGTTGAGGTGTAAGCTGTCTTCTGGTTTCCTTTTGCAGCGACCCACAGCCAAATAGCAGGCCTCCATTCTGACTGAGAGCAGGCCTCTGATCCATTCTGATGCTCCCCTGCCCTCTCAAAGGGCCTTGCCCAGAAGATACATCAAAGACAGAAGTTGTAGCACAGATAGTCTTTGAGGGGATTTGAGGAGGGTGTATCTTAAGATGGTGAAAGAGCTTTAAGCCTGTTCCCACAGTCCCTTTGGGGAAAGAAAGAAACTCCAGGCTAGTGTATGAGCTTCCTCCTCTTTCCATTCTTTAGACTTCAGCCTCCAAACCACTTTCCCAGATGCTTCATCCTAACTTGGCAAGAGCCTTTTCCCTCCGCTGACCAGACGTGGGGGATGTCAACTTGGCCAGACATTCACTATCTTCAACTGATTCTTCGAATATCAGCCCCTCCAATTATTCTATGTTTTACTTTCCTTCTCTGTCCCTCCTCTTCTGTTTAATCATCTACGTCTCATGTGTCTGACTCCCACATAAGCCCCTTCAAAAACCTGTTTTCTTGGGCATGGTGGAGCTGGAATGGGCAGGGATTCAACAGTACTATGTGACTACAGCCTCCCTTCCTGATCATCACATACTGACTGCTGGAGCTAGAGCTGAGGTGGTATGCCCTTGGATGAGTTCCTCTCTTGTCGAAATCCACTCCATGGGCAGCAAGAGAATGTATAAAAGGGAACCACTATGGCATGCAAAATATACTCCAGTTTCCCGTGGAAAGATCACTACTGTTTGAGAGGCCCTGGGTGAGAGCAATAAGAATGTTTAGAGTAAAAAGAAGCATAGGCAGTCATCTCCACCCGTTCTTTATCTGCTAACACAGAGCTTGGCACAGCCCTGGAACCACCCCTGATGATGGTTAGCATCCCCACTGAGCTCTCCCATGGCAAGTATGGGAACTTTTGAAGATCCCAGAGAGTGGATATACTTGGTGCCCTTTCCATCGCCGTCCTTGTCGCCTTTGCCATCCCCCTGATGTGTTGTCACAGTCTGGAGCTCAGGCCCACGGAAACGCTCTAGGAATGAATCAGGCCTTGGTTCCTCCTCACGGAAATTCTTGTTGGCCCAGTCTCTGATGACCCCCACCAGGCGAACAATCCTAGAGGGGAAAAAGAAGAAGTGTGTGCCAAAGAAATGACCTGTGCTGTTTAGAAAAGACTTGTCCAAGAGTGTTCACTGCCTGTTGAGGAAGAGGAGAAAAGAGGAAAAGCCGGAAATAGACCAGGCCATGATTTCCTGTATGCTAAGATCTGGAAAGAGACCAGCATTGTGGGCAAGAGTTGGGGCTCAGGCATTATCTGAAGTATGTCCTGTGGGGGAGGATAGCCCTCCAAAGATTTCCTATGTAATGGAACTTTACAGTTACTGTGAAACACAAACAGGAGGTCTTCAAGGCAAGATTGAGACTGTTAAGAGTCAGGACAGGTCAGTATGAAAACAGCCCCAGGCTTCTTTATTTCTCTATGAGGCCTATGATCTTAAGACCCTATATATAGGCCCTTTTGCCATAAAGACTCCCTTCTTCCCAGTGCTAAGGCAGCCAAATATGAAGGGAAGTCTACTCCCAGCTTGCCTCACAAGAACCTCTAAAGCAGTGGAATAACACCTGGGCACTGGAATTTCTAAACACTCTCCTGGTGATTCTAAGTCAGTGCTTCTCAACCTCCCTAACACTGTGACCCTTTAATATAGTTTCTCATGTGGTGACCCCCTCAAGCATAATACTATTTTGTTGCTACTTCCTAATTGTAATTTTGCTACTGTTGTGAATCATAATATAAATATCTATGTTTTCCAATGGTCTTGGGTGAAAGGGTAATTCCACCCCCTCAAGAGGAATCGCAACAAGTTGAGAACCCCACTGCTCTAGAGTCTTGTAAAAAGGCCTAGTGCAGCTGAGAGGAGGGTCATAGTAACCATTTGACAGGCCCCAAGAATAGAAGGGGTAGCAGCAGGTCAGCTGAACTGGAGAACTCACCTTCGGAAGCCACCCCTCCCCCTCCGTGGGGTATCCATCTCCGCCAGCCTTTGCAGTTCTGAGGAAGTGTCATCCTCAAGCGACACAGACTGTGGTCTGCATAGAAAGAAATAGAGTTGATCCAGAGTCTCTCACCAGGAGTTGTCTTTCCTCTTAGGACATGCCTAAACATCTCACAGTCCCCTTGGAAGATATCCTGGAGCAAATGGAGCTTGCTCTGAGTGTAAGCCAAAGCTCCAAGGAGATAGTGGAGACTCTGAGTTATTGATGAAATCACCCAGGCTGAGCTGAGAGTGCAGCTCAGGGGTAGAGGGCCTTCCTGATAGGTACAAGGCCTTGATGTTCTACCCTAATTCTGGCAAAAAAAAAAGAAGGTAGGGTAGGAAATGAGAATGAGGAAAGAAGAAAGAAGATAAGAAAAGTAAGAGTCACCCAAGTTCAGTACACTCACCTGCTACCTGTTCTGTGGTCATCTTTGCCATTGGCCTTAATGGAAGGTGGAGGGTGATGGTTGTGGTTATTAGCTGGAGAGCTCTTCACACCATTGGGCTTTTCGGTCATCCTCCATGTACATGCAAGGCTCTCACCTGACAAGGCGATAACCAGTGGACTCTATTACCCATAGAGAGCAGGGCAGCTAGAGGCGAACAGAGTGACCTTAGTAGTTCATGCATCAAAACATTCTCTAGGGTAAAGGTAAGAAAACTGCATTGTATAGTTTATCACCATTTAGATTTTAATAACACACCAGAGTAAGGAAGTAGAATCACTTTCTTGGCCCTTAAGGGCCTGACACTGAAGCTAATGCTGAGTCTGATGGCTTCAGATTGCTATAACAGTCGTTATTCAGGCGATCGTGAGGTTCCTTCAGACATGAAAGAGATGTGCAGAAGAAGACATATTCACAAGATAGACTGAGAAAAAGAAGCTGAGCAAGAAGCTTGTGTACTACAGTATCTCTTACCACAGTCGGGAAGAACGGGGGTCAGAGACCCTCACAGTAGCTTTTCTCTTCTAAGGCTGATTCGCATGCCCCACTAGATGTGGGTAGAAATTGTCAACACGCCTCGGTTTCTCATCACCTCTTCTGGACTCACAGCTACCTCTGACTCCACATCACTGCTGTGAATTCTCAGACCCAAGAGAGTTGAGAAATTAAAGACTCCTGTGATGCAAACTGGGAGTGGGCAGGGGGAGGCTTTTCTTCGTGCTTGGATGTCTCAGTACTGGGAGAGATGAAATATCCTTCACAGCAGAGAAGCCTACACATAGGATCCCGAAATTGTCGTCACAGAGCCAAAACTCCATTTGGAAATCAGGTAGTGTGAGGTAACCTTTATGCTGGCCTCATATGACTGAACACAACATCCATCTCGCCCTGAATATCTTCCTGTTGTTACACAGGAAATCTTGTGAGGACATCCACCCCCACAGCATGCCTGAACCCCAGCACTTGCCCTCAAGGCTGACCTCTTTCCAGCTTCTTTCACTTCCTCCAGCATCTGAAGCTGTCACCATGGTGACGGCAGGCACGTCAAGCAGCCTCAGAGATGCTCTCCCGGTGCTCTCTGTGGATGCTAATGAGGACACCTGAGGGAAAGGAACCAGCATCCACAAGTACTTGCTTGAACCCTGGAGGCAGTAGACCATGGAGACAGAAAGTTCCAGGCAATACAAACAAATCCAAGGCCGCTCACACGGATCAGTTTCAAGGCTGGTGGTGTTGAAGTGCAAGCTTTCAGACCAGGAGAGACTGTAGTACATGTGTTCACTCTCTATGCTTCTGACATTAAAAAGGTTTCCTCTCCTGTGATCCCCTGCATTGTATGTACCAGGAACAGGCCCTTCTATTTTTTCTGATTCTCTTGTGACATCACTCAACCACACATGCCCTTTCATCAGAAAAGTCCACTTAAGGGAGCAAGGACAGGCAGCTAACCATTGCTACAGCTCACCCAGTCAGCCAAGTGGTTCTCACAGGCACACCCTGCACACACCTCACCTACACCCAAGGCATTTGTTACAAACGGGTTTCTAATCAGTTTGTGCACACATATCTTTTGCCTATTAACTAGTTCCTTTGAGCTACCTCCAACCCTCAAATCCCACATAACAAAAACCACATTTGAGGCATTCGCTAATAAATTAGCCACCTTTTCATTTTGCCAGTCTCCTAACACAGACTTCTTTCTGTCAAGTCACTCAAGCCTGAAACCTGGATTTCACCACAATTGTTTGCTTCCTTGATCACATCCATGAGCATCACTCAAGAGCTAATCCATCCTCCTTCAAATTATTGAGCATCTGTCTTTCAATCACCCTCTACCAATGCTGCAGTCTCATTGAGGCTCTCAAAGCCTGTTGCAACAGACTCTTTTTGATCAGCACACGCTAGAGTATGGCCTGGACATTGTCAAAGTTTAACTGAAAAGAAAATTAACTTCTCTTGGGGACAAATGCACTCTCATATCATGAATGGACAAGGATGGAGGGTAAAAGCAGAATTTGGAAAACCTGAAGCTGTTCAAATAGTCCAAGTAGTTAACCAAAGTGACGACAAAGATAAGGACAGGCAAAAGGCTTGAAAAAGCACAAGAAGCGCTCCTAAAGAAGACAGATGCCTCAAGGCCAATGCCCAGTCTTAATAGGGAGCCAATGCTTCTATCCCCTGAGATGAGAGGTGGAATAGAAGGTGGAGAGAGCAATAAGTTCCTCTGTGGGAGAAGAGTAAAAACAGTATAAATGAATTATCTCTCAGGAGGTGAGGAAAAGTAGGAGTTTGAGGGACAAGAGATAGAGCTGTAACTAACTCTGCAATCTTGGCTCATAAAGGGCAGAAATACAGTGGAAACAAAGGGAAGATGTATGGCTGAGAAAGGTTGGTTCTCTTTGTGTAGTATTGTTAATTTTTACTTTTGTGTTGCCACTGGGTTTTTGTCTATTGTTTGCTTATTTGTTTTTGGGTTTTGGGGAGATTTGTTGTTTCTCTTTTTTTACATCAAAGATAACAAAGCAAGCTGGGATTCAATTAGAAAATTTATTTTTGTGCTTGAGAACAATTCCAATAGAGTAGAGCCCATGAATGGTGGAAATGATACGTAGGGTTAGATACCAGATAAAATGAGATGAAATTTATCAGGTGCATCAGGAAGGGCTGTTGAAAAAAGTCAAGAAAGAAAGTAATAGTTTTGATGGGAGTAGGAATATAGAGAGCATCGGTTGAAAGGGTTCACTTCTGCAAAACTCTAATATTATATGTGAAGAGGGAGGGGATTCCATCTTCAGGGATATCAGTCTTTCTTGTGCGCAAACTTTGGAGGAGGCAAGATTTGCAGTAGGAATGAGTAGGAGAATCCAAAGTACTTTAGGTACAAACCCAGCAAGACAACAGACTACAGAGTTGCCACTGAGAAAAGAGGTGGACCGGAGATCTTAGGTGGGTGGAATATCCAAGGAAAGTGCCTTTCAAACCTAGAGTAAGGCATGCTGATGCAGTTTTCTAAAGAGCCCAATTTCAATCATGAGGACTTTCTGGGCCTGTTTTCATCCATTAGCTCACTATCTGAGTAACTAGGATTATATAGATAATCACCCTGACAAAATGAATCCCTGGGCTGGCACAATGAATCCCATGAACCTTGGCTAAAAGTATTTTCAGAGTTTCTTCAGAGTATGCATAGGGATGTGAAAGCCAGAAAGCCTAGAAGTTCTGCTTTATAGCTCACTAAAATGATAGCTGATGTTCAATTCTTTCATTCACTCGTCTATCACACACCAGTCACCCACTGGGAGCCAGTCCCTGGGCTGGATGCTAAAGCTAGAGACGGTAGTCCAGCAGTGTCTAGAGGAACCTCAGGATCAGTGTCAGATGACCTAAGGAGACAACCAGGAACACAGTCTAACTTAAAAGTCATTCTCTGTTCATATTCTATTGTGACTTCAGCAACATATCAGCAATTATTCTCTGAAATAATGTTATTCACACCTTATTCCTCATCTTCCTTATCCACTGCTTCTCCTGTTCTTTGAGGAAGTGTCCACTTCTGCCCAACAGTAAAGTTTCGGTTGTGAGCTCATCCCTTCACTGGAGCATTTATTTTACTATCATTTCCTCCCCAGAGTGGTAGCTTTTAATGCATATAAATGCCAGAAACTTCAAAACCTCTAAAAGCCAGAAGCCCAAACCTCTTCTCTGGAGCTCAGTTTGACCCCCTGACATGAGCATTTTGATGCGGAATAGACGCCTCAGGATTAACATGTCCAGAATTGAGGCCTTGATCTTCCCCTCCAGATACTATTCTCTCATACTCAACTGCATCTCAGGAAAGGCAAAGCCATACTTCTAGCAACTCGGGTCCAAAGCCTTTGTGTCATTCCTTTCACTTCTGTCCCACTACACATTCAAAGCATGCAGGCTCTACATTCAAAACATCACAAGCTCAATATCTCTATCACAGTTTAATTAATCCAAGCTTGGCACTGTAGATAATGAATGAGCTTCGGGGATGGGTAGTTGATTAACTGTCCTTTCACTCCTTCACTTTTTCTAAGCTTCCTCTCCCCCTTTCACTATTCACCTTATGCTCCTTTTATATTAGATAGGTTAATTTAAAGGAATATACAACATTATTTATTGGTTAAAATGGAGTAACAAAGATCAATATATCCTCCAGAATGCAATAACTTACTTAGGGAGAAAAGATATAAAACAACATTTCCCAAGACTTTAAACACTAAGTAACAAAACAGAAATTCTTAGGCAGGAGGAAATAAATCAAGGGAGCCTTGTGATCAACCATCATTTTTCTTGTCATCTTTTTAGGCCATAACGTAGAGGGAGAAATGAAAGTGGACCTTAATGGATTCCCTGGATTGAGAAGAAAGCAGACTCCAAAGAGACCAGAGCATCAAGAGTGTGCAGGGCAGAGTACCGGGAGAGGAGTGAACCTCAAAAAGAGAGTTACAGAGGGATTCAGCAATACAGAGACAGAAACAGAGAGACAGAGACAAGGAGACACAGAAAGGTCATCTAAGCAAGATCAAGGAAGCTAAAAGTGGACCCTATCACATATTCAGCTTAGTACATATACCATCCTCCTAAATTCAGTATTCCAGGTCTCAGTCTTCAGATGGGCTCTAATACCACCTGTCAGGAACATCCGGTTGTTTGTGCAGTCTTGGTTAGACTACCCTGAAGAGCCTTGACACCAGTGAGGAATGAGTAGTTCCTACACTGAACAATGTTATGATCCTACTGAAAACTTGTAAAAGTATAACCCAAATGCATTAAAGTCTTCCCAAGCAACTAAAATGCAATCCAGAAAAAAAAAGCCCCAAAATGTTATCAGAAATATAAAATTAGGCAAAAGAGTCAGAGATGGACCCTCTCCACTGTTAGTAATCTCACAAAACCATCAAGCTAAGGACCACAACAGATATACAGAGAACTTGCTGCACACATGCAGGACTCATGCTTGCCACTTCAGCTTCTGGAAGCCCGCATGATACCTGCTTAGGGGATTCTGTGTGCCATGTTTTCTTGGTGTCACCCATCCCTTGTGACTCCTAATGCTTTTCCTCCCCCTCT